TGTTTATTTTATATATCACAGCATTCCTCTTAACACCATTTCTTTATAAAAGTAGTTGAAGATATTTTCAAATAAAAATTAAATGTTGCTTACTTTAGTTAACTGGATAATTTAACAACTCAAAAATTTAATTGCAAAAGCAAATTTTATTTCTAATATAAATCAAATGTAAACAAGTGACAAATATATTGATCACAATTTCTGAAAAGTTTAAAATGAACTTCATACAAAATTGAGAGGCACACCATTGTTGTTCTCTTTAACCTGGTTTCTGTAAAGAATTTTATTATTCTATTGACAATGCAGATTATAAAACAATGTAATGAGCAATATGACTTTAATTTTGAGATTAATCAAGACATTTCTATTATTTACACTATTTACATGTGTCCTCATTCTTGTTGTTGTTTTGACCATTGTACTATCTGGCCTTCATCAGGTGTATGTCAATCCAAGTATCTTACAGGGAATTTCAAAATGAACCCTTTAGTTAATCTATGGGGATAGATTTTTCTCGTTTCATTGCCCATATCTAGGGATATCTCGTCTAGTTTAGGAACTAGACGAGATATCCCTAGACACAAGTAAATAATGTTAAACTTCTCATAAAAATAATAAAAATAATGATAATTCCTTATCTCAAAAATTCAAACAAAATTTTTTGTCTATATTCATTTCTATAAATCTTATTTTAGATGGGAAGCTTAGAAAATCTTAAGTTATATACTATTAATGGTATTAAATTTATTAATTTCTATAAATAGATGAAAATAAATAATCCTTACTAATTATAAATGCCTACCAAAATGTCTTAATATTTAAAAAGTAACTGAAAGTGGATAGAAATGAATATTATAGAATTATTTTAAAGTTACATTGAAACATATTGTATACATATATACTTGTAGTTTATATTGTATAAATGTAGAGTTAAAAAAAAGTAAACCTTTTTTATGAAATTTTAAACTGTCTTTAGACACAAGATATAGGTAAATAACTTTAGACACAAGATATAGGTAAATAACTTTTCATAACTCACAATTAACAAGAAAAGAAATCATCTCCTTTGATGCTACTGAAGAATTATAGACATAATCATTTAAGTGCGCAAAGTTGCAAAATCAAATAGAAATTAATGTTAGATAAATAAATTATTGGATTTGTTATTATTTCTTTTGAATAAAATAATTGTAACACAATCTTTTATAGCCATCTTAGATCTGATTTAAAATGTGTAAATGCAGAATATACATTATTTTTTAAACTCATCATCAGTAAAAAATATGACACCACATCTGAAACAACTACCATTCAGTCTATTTTTTCTGTTTTATGTTTCATAAAAAAACAGTTCAAAATTTGGTATCATTTGAATTATTTTGTATAATAATGAGATTAAAGCACATATTAATATAATTAACAATATTTTTTTAAATCTTGTCTCAGAAACTAAGAAATGAATATTGAGATAATGATTTTTTAATGTTCTCATGTATTGTACTTTGCAATCACATAACAGCATAACTATCAAGCATAGAAAATCAATAGTCTGCCGAGGCTGTAATGCAGACAAATGTCCTTGAAAAGATGTCATATGATTTAAAACAGAAACATTTTTCTAATTGCATTATCAATGTAAGAGAAAACTGTATTGAATTTTATATGTAACTTATAAAAATAGTTTTGAATAAAAAGTCAAAATTTAAACAAAATGCAAAATATAAATAAATGGAGAATTAAAGGGAAACATGAAAAAATAAAAGTGAAAAAAACTAATTTTAATAAAATTCTACAATTGTATAAACCATATTATGAAACTATAGCTCTTCAAATCTTGCAGCTAATATCAAATTACAGAAGCAAAATGGTTACTTATTAAAATTAGTTATGTACAACACTAGATAAAAAGAAAATTTTCTCTCAGTACTTATCAAAGAGGTTTTAGCAATGTAATGAAATTTAATAGTGCCTTTATGGTGGAGTATTCTTAAAGATTCTATGAAGGGGTGCTGAAATGTCCTCAATTTGACACAACATCAAATATTATTTTAATCTCCTTATTATATCAGGATCAAATTTTTACACCAATATTTTATATACTTCTATTAGTAAATTTTTAAATAAAAAAATACCCTAACTGTATTTTAATTTTACTTTCATTTAAAAGTCAATAAAAATCATTTCTATGTTATTGGTTGCACTTTTTAAAACTATATTTACGACAGTCTTAATTACAGTGCTTAGTAATTGTGTACTATATATTTATTTATATATTATTAAACTGAAAACAATAGGTAAAGATCTATTGAATTAATTTTTTTTCTTTATGGAATACTAAAATGTGACACCTCTTTAAAAATATCTTACACCTTGTGAGACCAAAAAAATAAGTAAAATGATCCAGAGAAAATCCTTGAATTTCTAAATGTAATTTCCTGTTTTTCTTTACAGAAGACACATGAATATAAATTTAACTGATTATTCATATATAGAGGTCCTCTTTCAGATAACATGGTTTCTTTTTTTTCCAATATGAATAAAGGACTAAATAAATGTTATTTTTATTTTTCATTTAAGCAATTAATGTGTACACTTAATTCAGAAAAAGCTGTTTGAGATCTTAAGATGCTATACAATATGCTAAAAAATTGAAAATTTAAGATGCTAAGTTAGGATGACAGAAACAAGAAAAACATCAGTGTATTTCTCCAATAGTTTTTATTGTGTTAAGGTAATCCCTATTTTATAAGATTTTTTTTTAACAATCCTTTGAAAAAAATGAGTCTAGCTTTGAAATCATTCCATCTTTATTCCTATATTCATGGATTCATTTATTTGACATTTTCTTTTTCATTATTTCCTTCATTACTTTAATCTTTTATTACTTCACTTAATCATTTTCTTCATTCTTTCAATTCATTCACTGCTTCATTTTGTCTTCCTTTCATTCCTTTCCCATTTAAAATTTTGTTTTAGTCATTTATTTTATACCAAATTTTATTCCATTTTTCATAGTGTAATCATTTCTGATTTATTTTTTTACATGAGTTTTCCTATTATTCTTATTTCTTTTCTTTATATTTTCATTTTCTCCATTCTTTTATCCTTCCTTTTTCACTCAAACACCGAAGTTAAGCAATGTCAAGCCTGGTCATCACCTAGGTGGGTGACCACTTTGGAATACCAGGTTTTTTCCCCACTATAGGTTAATTAGTAGGACTTGTATCAGTAAATAATTATTATCTCTAAAATAGACTTACAATCTAAAATTATTTTCTAGCTTTAAAATAACCTGCAAAAGGTTGATAAGCCATAAAAAACAAATCAATCAGTTTTTTTCCATCATTTGCTTATTATTTCATTCTTTTCCCAATATTTTATTCATTTCTTTATTCTTTTCTATACAGAATCTTTTAAGTTTTCTTGTTTTTTACAAAATAATTCATAAAAAACTGAAAACATGTCTGTCATTAAAAGAGATTAATATATTTCATTAGTTCATTTAATGAAGTCACCTATGCTCAACAGATGAGTATATCATATTACACATATCTTTTAATTGTTGAAATGCAAAATGAACTTGTAAATAAAGGAGTGGGCCAAGGAATGGTCATAATATACAAACTAATCCTTTTTTCTTGTAAATATAAGAACTCATTGATATGCATTATTTATATTCGGACTATTGCCCTCATTGTTATTATCACAACTGTTTGGCAGTTGCACTTTCAGCAGGTGCTTGTTGATCTAAGTAACATTCAGGCAATTTTTGAATGCAACTTGTTCTCGTTCTGCTGTCTGTGTCTAGGGATACTACTTAATTATTGCTCATTCTCTTTCCACTGAATTTGCAAATGAAGTCACAATTACTATGCCATCCAACCAATGCATTAATCCACTAGGCTATTGTTGTGAAATGAAGTGTTTGTTTGTGAATTTGGTGGCATAATAATTATGGGTTCAATCCCTGAGCTGGGTAGTGCAGACTTAGACTCAGAGCAATTAATAACTAAGAAGTATTAAATAATAACAAGATGAGACATCCCTAGACATGAACAGTGGAATGAGAACAATCTACCTCCATAGATTAAATAATAGGTTCAGTTCAAAATTCCCGGAAGGTTATTCAGATCAACAAGCACCTGATGAAGCCTGGAGGACACAATAGCTAAAATGTAGTAATAATAATAACAACAAAGATGAAGACATTAGTCCAAGTATAAATAATGATAACTCCTAATCTGAGAAATTCACAGAGAGAGATAATTTTCAAAGCTTTGTAAAAATAATTATTTCTTCAATTTTTTGTTTGGTTTTTGTTGATTGAAACTGTAAAACTGATGTCACTATAGTCAATAAATCACTTGGCTGAACATTCATCTTTGCATTCTTGTATATTTTTTGTATAAATTTCATTTTAACTGTACAGAATATCTACCTTAAGAATATATTTAACTTTAATATTCTTATATTAAAAATAATTACAAAATTTGGGTTAGCAGTGTTAATAAGAGAATAAAAAGTTAATTTTTGATTAAAATATTTAAATTTAATTGTGAATATAGAAATATTTACTGAAAATAATAAAAAAATGGCTGAAATTAATTAAATATAGGAATGAGAAGCTTTTTGACATTGGAGTCAGTGGATTTTATAGCAAGTGTGATGCTATGTATGCAAATATATAAATGCATTAAAAATTGATGGTTCAAAATCACACAGTTTTTGAATTAATATTACTTTGAAGAGCTGGTAGGTTTCCTGGATCTTCAGTGTCTTGTGTTTTATTACAATCATTTTCTTTACTTTCTCTTGAGTCTGTGGGTAGCATTGTCTTATGATAATTATCATAATTTGTAACTTCAGAATCAATACTAGCCTCATAGAAATTATTTAAGCTCCAGTCATAGGATTTGTGCCTTTCAGAAACACATCCGCTAGCTACTGAAGATTCCAAGTCTGTGATACTACATGTATCTCCTATATCACTGAAAGTATACTGTGGATAGGCTATAGCATTTTGGTCATTCCTTGCTTGAGAAGTAGAATTGGCATCTTTTGAAATAGCAGATACATCTGAGGATTTTTCTTGAAGCAGCGGTGTTCTTTCACTTTTTCTAATTGAACTGAAACCCCTCAAAGTTTGTCCAACACCATTACCTAAAAAAGAAAAACATTATAATGAAAATTTTAGTCTTCCAAATAAATTTCAGTTCAGTAATGGAAATTAAATATAAATATTTTTAGGATATAATATTCTTGATAAGATTTGACAAAATTTACTCTTTTATTAGATGTATACAAAAGTTCCCAGCCTTCTTTTTCTGAAAACTAGAGACTGAATACAGAGTTGAAAAACATTTTTTTTTTGTTGGAAATTTGTGCATATATCCCATAAGTATTTGAAAAAATGGTGATAACTTCAAATAGCTATTCTGTAATATAAAACACAATGTGACTTTATATATTTAATGTGCATGCACTATGATCTCTTCTTTGTAATGAGATATTTCATTGTTAACAAGAGGGATTAATTGATGCCAGTAAGTAAACATGACTCACATTACCATAACAGAATACACTTACTATATATGTAGGTAAATAATACAATAAACTGGATTTTATGGCATATGTGTGTGTGTTTGTGTGTGCTGGAGTGCATGCACCTGTGTGTATATGTGTCTATGTATGTGAGAGTATCATCCCGAAGAAAATTCTCTCTCCCACCAAACATAATCAAACACAAATAAGCATTTAAAAAAAAAAAAATAAATAAACCAGCTTTTTGATGATCGTAAAAGCGTGAAACCCAGTGTCGCAAACTAATATCCATACAACTGAATATATATATTTTAATCAAAATATGTTGGATTAATAAATGAAAACTCCATTCATACACACACACACACAAGGTGTAACAGTAAATTTGTTCAATTGTTAGATTAAGCTCTGAACCATTGTATCTTAGAAATGATTAAAGATAAATTACTGGAATTCTTCAAGGTTTTTATAACACTATTGGACTCTACTTTGAGCAATAAGAATGTATAATTACTGTCTAAGTTTAACAGAAGTATTATGATGAAATCAATCATAAACAAAAATGACATGTTCATCATTAATTAATCATAGCTAAGGATTGGAAGCTCATGAAGTATTGAAATAAAGTTCAAATATATATATATATATATATATATATATATATATTATTAATAGAAATCTTATTAGTATAAGAAACTATACTCACTCAGAAAACCTTCGGTGTGTTGATTTGCAAATAAACAAGCCAATACCAAAGGGAAAAAAAGGTATAAAAAAAGAAAGAACCAAGAACATGTACGTTAGTTGAAAATAATCGTCCAGCATGCAAGTCCAAGGCCCAAAGAAAAAAAAACCCCGACGTAAAATAACTAAATAGATTGCTCAATACAATGAGTAGAGCAGACCTAGTTAAACCTAGAGAGCCAGACTGTCAGATGTCCAGAAATTGCTGTCGCTTTCTGTCAGCAATACGTCTAGTCTAAATATGAAGCCTAGAAGAGCAGTGGCCTCCCGTCCAGAAATTTTTTTTTTTAATCGGTAGCGTGGTTCTCTTATGCAAATAAGTCTGCTGCATAAAAATGGCAGTAGGCGTACGCTGCGACTGACTCTCAGAGAATGGTTCGACCGCGAGGCAGCAAATTCGCTTTTGCTCCTGGTAAGTCACTGTCACTTCTATTACACTCCCCCTGATCAAATATGATCACATAAGTGACAGTGAGGGGCTGGTTGTTTCACCCTTGCACTGAACAAGCGGTGGTATAACCATGACTTCCTACCGGCTGAATCGTCAGATGTGTCCTGGTCTGAATCATATTCCGGGGATCATTAAGGATCAAGTCTACTTCTGTCTCGCTTTCAGATGGGGTGTCGCTGCTGCTTGCACTGGAGCTTGGTTCTTGCCATTCATGACTCCCCTGACGTTGTATCACCGCCATCATCCGTTGGTAACAATGAAGTGAGCTGTGGGCGTACATCTCCCACGTGTCGCGGTATCCCGTTGATGACTACCGACTGCAGACTGTTTATTCCCGTGATAACGACCTTTTCACAAACTTTGGCGTGCAGCGTCCATGCGGATTTTTTTTTACCCAAACCGCGTCTCCTTCTTTATACCGGTCGAAGTCGCCTGGTTAGGCGAGGGCACAATGTCAATTCCTTTTATTCGAATTTTATATGTAATGCAGCAGATTGGCGGGCGCAGAAGGCGCAGACACATCATCCCTGGGTGTAATGTTATATCAATACACGGCCTCCATAATAGAGCAGCTCTTTTTCGGCGCAGCAATCCGTTTGATTGTCTGATGACACCTCTCTACAATACCATTTCCAGATGGTTTGTACGCGCAGCCGCGGGTCGGAATCGGATGCCCCATTCTTCCGTGAATTGTTTGAATTGCTGACTGCAGAATGCAGTGTCATTATCAGCCAGGATTTCCACCAGGGCACCACGTTAAAAAAACACCGACTCAATTGCGGATTACGTGTGCAGCGTCTTGCCGAACTAGTGGCCGCCAGATAAAAAAACCCGTGTGGGGCATTAATCGATCAGAGTCAAAAAATGGCGACCGTTATAGTGTGTGATGTCCATTCCCAGGCGACTCCAAGTTTCACGACACTGATCTCTCCTTCTGCCATCGCACAGAAGCTGGACTGATACTGTTCACAACTTGAACGACCGATCTTACTGCTGCTTTTCGACACGGACGGGTTGATCCCTACGTCTAAAAATAGTGTCCGTTTAACTCCAGGGTGCCCGCTGTGTCGATGAATCTCAGTTAACTGAGCAAGGCTTGGGTTTCCCTACGGCAGAAGCACATACTGGTTGAACAGGTTCGAGTTCCTTCACATTGTTGAACCACCTCTGGGGAACTCTAGTCAGCAAGTCAGCTCGGTTCTGGTCGGATCTAACTAGCGCTATGTCAGCGGAAAGTTTATACTTTTTCACAAGAGAAGTTAGAGTTTCAAGTCGTTTTATGAGCATCTCGCTAAGCGGCCTTGGTGTTCAGCCGAGACTTTCCCGTAAGGGCATTAGTCACCCAATGGTACACGCAGAGGGAGTCTATGTTCACATGTAATACCGTAGCCTGCCATTTTAGCGTGAGGTTGATTCCCTTCAGCACGGCATCCAGTTCAGCCACATTGATATGCTGGGTGTTTTTTATCGGCCGTAGCCAGCATGCGTCCTTGATGATGGCTCCCTTAGCCTCGAGCGCTACTCCTACAGCCAGCGAACTCGTGTCCACCCACACGTCTAGCTCCTTCGTATTCACGCACCATCATTCTCCCTGTGCAGGATCCAGTTGCTGAGCCCGGGCGAGGGTGTCCGTTATCATACGTTCCAGGGGAGCATCACAAATTTTGTCATCCCAGTTTTGCGTTATGGCAGTGGCTCGACGTTTGATCACGCCTGTTGCCACTCGCAGCCATCCACACACGGGGAAGTGTCCCACCAGCCGGCCACACATGGAGAAAATACCTCTCCATGTCATAGTCATAGGGCCGTTTACCATTATACTTCCTCGTCGCCATCGCAGTCGACCCTGTTCCTTCCATACTTCTAGCCCCAGCACTCTGGCTCCGTCCTGTAACTTCTCTGGATCCTTGCTCGTCAGTCCGTAGAGCTCGAGATGTTTCCTCACAGATTCCCCGACGCCACATCCTTGTTGATATATATATCATCAATATATGCAGCGTTGCTCTATTTATAGTTTCATTTCTGTGCTAACCAGCCTTAAGCACAGCTTCGCATTATCAGGGGCGCCACATTCAGGCCGAACCCCAGCCTGGTCAAACAATATCGCTTCCCTTTAAACATAACTGTTTGATATGGCCACAGGGATTTTTCAACACGGATCTGTAGATATGCTTTCCTGAGGTCCAGAATGGACACATTTAGGACACTGCTGTCTCCAGTCTCGCAGTTTTTTCTGCGCCAAACATCTCGCGGCACCTGTGAATGTTTCAACGTAGGTATTTAGTTCCCTATAGTCCATCACAGGACGCACCTTATGCTTGTTGGTCTGCAGCACGGCCATCAGTGGTATCAGTCCCTTGGGCAGGCCAAACTCCTTGTTACTGTACGGCACCAACCAACCATTGTCCATCCATGTTTGTAATTCATGCACGTACTCCTCTCTCATCTTGCTGGATACTGGATATTCAGAGATCCGATTCTGAAGTTTCCCTAGTGCATGACCTGCCGACCACTTCCAGGCTGCGACCCAAACTCCCTGCCGTTCATTGAATTTCACATTGAAATTGGCTTCGCTGATACGAATCGCTGCACAGACGGACCGTGGTTTTGCAAACTCCACGCTTCCATGCTGCGTGATGCGAACTCCACCGAGTGCCTTAATGGCGTCGATGCCAAGCAACAGGTCGAAATCGGGGCTTCCCTCGCATAATCAGCACATCGATTGTAGCAGTATTACCAGTTGCTGTGCAAATTCTGACGGTGCTCCTTCCACAGCAAGCCTGCGTGGCTCCGGTTAATGTAGATACCGCCATACCCTGCTTCGACCAAGACCGACATAAACTTGCGCTCAAGACTGACCGTGAGCACCCAGAGTCAAGGAGAGCGAGCATGGTGTGCCGTCAACACACACAGTAATGATGGGTAGCACCGAGTTTACTTGCTGTTTGGGGGAGTGGACCGCGCTGAAGTCTTGTCCCCGCCTCCGTTCCCGGACAATTTTGGCCAGATGACCGGTCTTGTTGCATCGATAGCAACGTGCGTTAGTTGCCCTTCGCCTCCTTGGGCCCAGTCCCTCAAGTGATTGGGCCCATGTCTGGGAAGATCGGGAGTCTGGGGAGGGCTGCACCGCAGCGGCGACTGGTTCCTCTCTGCTGTCTCGTCCTTTATGATTGCCCGAGCTTGGGCCAATAGCTCCTCGAGACATATCATCCAACCTGGCCGAGGACCGCAGGGAACCTTTTCACAGGATCAGGAAGCCCCCGCACAAACACGCATGTCATCGCACTCCTCCAAAAAGGACGGAGAGCTTCATTAGATCAGCCAAATATACATCTACGGTCTCACCCGGACGCAATACACGTGCCTTGAATTGTTAAGTATGCCGAATTTATCAGGGGCAAATGCTGTCATCAATGCTCCCTTG